ATGTCCATGCACAGCAAAGGTCAGAGGAGACACAGTGGATCCTCTCTTCCTGTGTCCTCTTTGTAAGAAGAAGAAACTCTTCGCCAAGTGCCTCCCACCTCTACACTCCTCGCCTTGACTGTTGGTAGGAATGGGCCACACGCCTTAGCCTTGGGTTCCCAGAAAACAGAGCCAGAGCCAAAGTATGAGTTTGGGTTTTGACTGGTAAGTGTGATTCTAGGAATCGGAAGTGAGGACAGAGGAGCACAGCAGGGGAGCAGGGAGCACCGTGTAAGGATGTCGAGTTGGCCACCACCACAAGTGACCAGTTGCCCTATCCCATGGGACTGCTGAGAAGCCACAGGAAGTGTGTCTCAGGACCATACGTCCTGGGAGGAAAGGAGAAAAGCATCTTTCTATGGCTTCCACCCCCCCCCCCCTCCATTGGTTAAAGGGTCACCCTAAGGAGTGTTACCTCTCCCTACACTTCCGGGTTGCTCATGCACAGGCACTTTCATGGGTCCCCACATTCTAAGTTATGAAAGCAACACAGAGGATCCAGGACAGAGGGTAAAAGGCACACAGTGCAGGCCTGAGATTCAGCACCTTCAAGTCACACCTGTACCTGTTACCTGTACGTGAAGATGGTCAGGGACCATACAAAGTGGGTCACTGAAGCAATGGCTGGAATATAAACTAAGTGTGGCCAAGAGGCTTTGAAGAGGTGCACATGGGCAACCAGTAGACATGCTCATTCCTAAAATGGTCACTGGCAAGGGGAATGAGATTGCTGTGACTGGTTTAAGTTAATCATTTGTGATGAATGGATGCTCAGGATTCCACCCAAATGCCTCCACAAAGAAATCACCCTTACCTCTCCTCTCTAAAGGACCCTAGTCACTAAAGAACCCATCACTCCCAGCACCCCATTCATTCCCTTGGTGACACCCACCACAATGAGTAATCAGCCTGTGTAGGTGCCACTGTGGATTGACCGGCTCAGTGTTCACACACACCCCCCACCCCAGCATGGGAAAGCTGGAAAGATAAAAACCTGCCCTTGCTCCTTGGTCATGGTTTAAATTCCTCCACTCAGGCAGAGTCATTTTGCTAGTGCAGATGGTGGAAGGGATGGCAAAAAGGGAGCCATGCCTTTTTACAAACACTTAAATCCCTTCATGATGAAGTTACCTGGACTCATCTGGATCTCAACCATGAAAAGGACATCTTGTTTACTCATTAGCTTGCTCGTTATTATCTGCCTCTCCCCACTTAAGTTGAAGCTCATTGATACCAGGCACTTGTTTGTTTTTCCTTACTGTATGGACAGTGCCTGCTACGTAACAGGAGCTCAAGAATGATTTGTTGGGTGGAATGATTTGTTGGATGGATGGATAGATGGATGGATGGGTGGATGGATAGATGGATGAAGGTGGGAAGACCATGCCATGTGGAAGAAGAGGAAATAGTGGGTCACGATGCTCATTTTCTCCACCCAGTAAGCTTTGGAATGCCCCACGGCCAAGTCCTCACAACTCTTCTGTACTCACCTGCACTCCCTGGGTGAGCTCATCCAGAGTCATCAGTCTAACGTTATTATCTCCAGGCATGACCTCTCCCTTGAACTTCTGACTCCAATCTGACTACCACCCAAATTTTCCATTCAGATGTTAATAAGCATTTTGAATAATGGATCCAAAACAGAACTCTTAATTTCTCCTCCAAATCTCTTCTCACAGACTTCCTTATCTCAGTAAATGACAGCTGCATTCTTCCAGTTGTTTGGGCCCCAAAGCTGGGCATCACCCCAATGCCTCTTTCTCTCACACATGTCTCATCCAATTCTTCAGCAAATCCTCTGGGCTCTACATAATATATAGAAGCCCACCATTTCTCCCCCACCTCCACCTTCCTGATCTAGGACACCATCCTCTTCCAACTGGATTATTGCAGAAGCCTTTTATATTGGATGCTTCTGGTAACTCACATGACATATCCCCCAGTCACCTCTGACTTCACCTCCAACTGCAGTGGACAGTCATATATGAGCTCAGCTGATCCAGTGCATATAACGTCTTGCCTCCAGTGCACACCTCATACCTGTTTGCCTTCTGCCCTGGATTTCAATGCTGTCGGAGTCCTTTTGGTTCCAGCACAAGATTTACTTGCTTCTTGCCTCGAGTGTGAGCTGCACATCTCTTTGCTCTCTGCCCCATCAACACTTGATGCTATAGGAGCCTGCTTTATCCATGCACCCCAAAGTGCAGAGTTAACACCCCAGGGGCAACCTTCAACCAGTGGGGGACAGGGTAACTGGATAAATGTTCCTGCTTCCCATACTTCAGGCCGATAATTCTGGGAAACTGTGCACTTTTCAAGGATCCTGGTAAACTCAAGCTCCTGCCCGCAGCAGTGACATTACTAATATACCCTTAGGTTGGCTTTTTCTCCTTTCCCGTCTCATTATCCCACGCCCTCATGCCTGCTTCTTGGGTCATCTCTCAGAAAAGCTCATGTGCACATAAGTCCTTTTCTCAGTCTCTGCTTTCAAGAGAACCCAAGCTAAAATAACTTTTCAATTGCTATCCAGCAGCAGACTGATCCTTTTATTATCTTTTTAATTTACTTATATATTTTAGAGAAAGCAGGAGTGGGAGGGGCGGAGGGAGAGGGAGAGAAAATCTCAAACAGCCTCCACACTGAGTGCAGAGCACAATGAGGGGTTTGATCTCGTGACCCTGAGATCATGACCTGAGCCGAAACCAAGAGTTGGACGCTCAACCAACTGTGCCATCCAGGTGTCCCTAGACTGATCCTTTTAAAACATGTCTGCTCATGTCCCTCCTGAGCAGAAAACTCTCTGGTGACCCCATTTCACCTAAAAGAAAAGCCGAAGTCCTTACAATGGCTGACAAGGCCTAACAGGATCTGCCCTTCCTATTGTTTCCTCTCTGAGGTCATCTGCTAATCTTCCTTTGCTCTACCATAGCCAGTATTATCATTCTTTGCTCTACTATAGTTCTTCAAAGACACTCAGCACACTCCTGCCGCAGGGCCTTTGCACTGGCTAGTCTTACTACCTGAAAAGTTCTTCTTTCAGCTATTTCCAAGCATGCTTCTTTACTTCCTTCAGGACTCTTCTTAAAACACTTCCCAGAGAGGCCTTCCTATGTAAAATAGCAACCTCCACCTCCCCTAGCATTCCCTGGCCCCCTCACCCTGCTTCGTTTCTCATAGCACTGATCACCAACCTCAGAATTTGTCTTTTTAATTTTTTGTATATTTTCTATCCCCCCACCTCACCCCAACTTGAATGTAATCTCCATGAGAACAGGGACTTGGGGACTTTATTTTTTATTCATTTATCTATTTTTTTTTTTTTAAGATTTTATTTATTTGACAGAGCGAGATACACAGCGAGAGAGAGAACACAAGCAGGGGGATTGGGAGAGGGAGAAGCAGGCCTCCTGCAGAGCAGGAAGCCCAATGCGGGGCTCGATCCCAGGACCCTGGGATCATGACCTGAGCCAAAGGCAGACGCTCAACGACTGAGCCACCCAGGTGCCACCGTTCATTTAACTATTTTTAAGTAGGTTCCATGCCCAGTGTGGGGCTTGAACTCACAATCCTGAGATCAAGAACTGAGTTGAGATCAAGAGTCAGACGCTTAACCCCACTGAGCCATCCAGGGGCCCCTATTGGTTTTTTTTCACTACAGAACCTAGAACAGTGCTTGGCAAGTGGTAAGTACTCAATAAATATTTGTTGGATGAAACTCATTCATAAGGGCGCCTGGGTGGCTCAGTCATTAAGTGTCTGCCTTCGGCTCAGGTCATGATCCCAGGGTCCTGGGATCGAGTCCCACATCGGGCTCCCTGCTCCGCGGGAAGCCTGCTTCTCCCTCTCCCACTCCCCCTGCTTGTGTTCCTGCTCTTGCTATGTCTCTCTCTGTCAAATAAATAAAATAAAATAATCTTAAAAAAAAAAAAGAAAGAAACTCATTCATAAGTAAGACTGAAGAAGCATGTAGGGATCAGACTGTGGTGACCCTGAAGCCCCTGCTCTGGAGTCTGGCAGTAGGTGTGGTGGCAGCTCTTGGCTGTGAGGACACTGGAGGCTGGCGGCCGGACACCTTGGCCAAGAATTCACTTAAGGTTTTGCCCTCTAACGCTGTTCCTGGTTGACAACCTTTTTTGGGGGGTGGGGCGGGGGGGTGCTATGCTCTGAAATTTGTCTCAAGAAGTCCCAGGTAAAACCTGGAAGACCTCAGAGCATTTAGAAAAATAAAATCTCTGTAAGCTTGGTCCTCAATTCTGTGCAGAGGGTAGTTTGTCCCCTGCTGGTCCCTAAGACCCTGGCCATCACCAGCATAGAGTGACCTGCGTCATCTCTGAGTGCTGGTCAGCAGCTCAGCTGCCAACAACGCGGCTTCTGGTGGACGCTGGTGGTCTAGCCAGGAAGCTGGCTGGAATCCAGCAGGGCACTGGGAAAGAGCTGAGGGTGGCCTGGTGCTGTAGGTCTGAGCTTGCCATCTCTAAGATCTGTGAAGAGTCCCCTCTGGCCCCTGCCACTTGGCCCAGCCACCCTCATCTGGGGTTAGGGACTAGGCCAGGCTCATTCTGTCCTCCGGAGAAGGAGAATTCTCTCATTTGTCCTCACAGGGACCTGGGTCCTCACATGCAAGCTCCTGCAAGCACAGGAGACACGGCCGGACGAGAACGTGGGAAGGAAAGGAAGCCCCCTCCCTGATGGGGTTGCCTGAGCAAGGCCCCGAGGCTCCGCAGGCAGTCAGAAGCGGGGAGCTGCTGCTCGGGACTGAAGAGGTTAATGTGCATCTGCTTCCGAATGTTAATGTGTCTAGGTGATGTCAGTGGGAGCCGGGGAAGGAGGGAGTGGGGAGAGGAGCGGGGCTTGGAGGCGGCAGACGCTGCCAGACCGCCAGGAAGACCCCCTTCCGGACTGGGGGGCTCGTGCTCTGGGACGGGCGGGCGGCGCTGCCGCAGCCTGCGTGGGTGGACGGGCGAGCCGGCGACGGGCAGCGGCAGGATGGACCTGGAAGCCTCGCCGCTGCCCACTGGCCCCAATGCCAGCAACACCTCCGATGGCCCCGATAACCTCACCGCGGCCGGTGAGTAGTGCTGGAGGGGAGTCCTCCCTCCTCTGCGCTGGGGCTGGGAAATGGAAGGTTTCACCTCTGAGCCAAACTGCTCCGGAAACTTTAGTACAGTTCTTGGGCTTGAGACCTGCGGTCGGCTTTGCCGGGAGGGGAAGGGGAGAAGGGGGCGCGGCAGGCAGGGGCAGCACGGGCAGGGGCAGAGAAGAGGGCAAGGGCACGTTCAGAAGTGGCCCGCGGGTGAGGGAGACAGGGGAAGACTCACCCATGAGTTCCAAATGCTCTGCAGAAAAAAATTCCAGGCTGGAAAAGCAAGCAAGAGAAGCCAGAGGATGGTATGTGAGGAGACAGCTGGAAGCTCACTCATTCACGGATCCCCTTGTCTTTTTACTGAAACTGCAGTAATGGGATCTGAAACATCCTTCCCAACCCCTGGGAAGGGCTAACTCACAGAGCCATGAGGGGATTAACTTTCCTGGTGAATGAAGCTTCCTGACATTTCCAGAGCTGAAATGCCCCGAAATTCTAGCTCTGAAGGAGGTGAAGGAAAAAGAGGAAAGGCTTGTGTGCAGAAAATTCTCAGGCAGCTAGGCTGCAACACAGCTTCAGTCTCTGCTCACTTGGGAAGCCCAGGCTCAGAAGATACAGACCAAGGAATTCCCTGATAGGAACCCAGGAGAAGGGAGGGCTGCGGGCCTGATGGGCAAAAGCCTCCCTTCACAAGACAGTAGCCCACAGATATGCCTAGGAATCAGTGCACAGCTTCCAACTAGCGATTTCTAAAATGAGATGATCAGGGCTGCAAACAGAAAACACATGAATGCACCCATCCATACATGCGCTTGCTCACCCGAATGCGTGCACACACACACACACACACACACACACTTTCATGTCCTTCTGGCTATGTTGACGAGGTTTCCTGCTAAAGCCTACGGGCCCACAGAATAATTCCCTGCAGATAGCTGTGGTTCTTGATTCTGTGCCTTCTGAGAAAATGCAGGAAGTAAAGGACTGGGTCCTTCAACTAACAGGTGGTGTGGGAGAAATCTGGTAGGATTAGCCAGGGAACTGGTGGAGGAGGGCAAGGGGACAGGATTAGCAACAGTGTGGGAGGGAGAATGGTAGGAAAGGGTTCCAGATGAATGGTGAACCCTGAGCTGAAATGGAAAGAAGATAAAGAGGTAGGCAAGCACATCATCACTGGAGGCTGAGGACGCCGGGAGGATGTCAGCCCTTGGAGAGGAGTCCATGTCAAATGGTCAACATTTGCTCCTTTTGTCCCCAGGGCCACCTCCTCGCACAGGGAGTGTCTCCTACATCAACATCATCATGCCTTCTGTGTTCGGCACCATCTGCCTCCTGGGCATCATTGGGAACTCCACAGTCATCTTCGCGGTGGTGAAGAAGTCCAAACTGCACTGGTGCAGCAATGTCCCCGACATCTTCATCATCAACCTCTCGGTGGTGGACCTCCTCTTCCTCCTGGGCATGCCCTTCATGATCCACCAGCTCATGGGCAATGGTGTCTGGCACTTTGGGGAGACCATGTGCACACTTATCACGGCCATGGACGCCAACAGTCAGTTCACCAGCACCTACATCCTGACCGCCATGGCCATTGACCGCTATCTGGCCACTGTCCACCCCATCTCCTCCACCAAGTTCCGGAAGCCCTCTGTGGCCACCCTGGTGATCTGCCTCCTGTGGGCCCTCTCCTTCATCAGCATCACCCCCGTGTGGCTCTACGCTAGGCTTATCCCCTTCCCAGGGGGCACGGTGGGCTGCGGCATCCGCCTGCCCAACCCAGACACTGACCTTTACTGGTTCACCCTGTACCAGTTCTTCCTGGCCTTTGCCCTGCCCTTCGTAGTCATCACAGCCGCGTATGTGAGGATCCTGCAGCGCATGATGTCCTCGGTAGCTCCGGCCTCTCAACGCAGCATCCGGCTGCGGACAAAGAGGGTGACTCGCACGGCCATCGCCATCTGCCTGGTCTTCTTTGTGTGCTGGGCTCCCTACTATGTGCTCCAGCTGACCCAGCTGTCCATCAGCCGCCCAACACTCACCTTTGTTTACCTGTACAACGCAGCCATCAGCTTGGGCTACGCAAACAGCTGTCTCAACCCCTTTGTGTACATCGTGCTCTGCGAGACATTCCGCAAACGCCTGGTCCTGTCGGTGAAGCCTGCCGCCCAGGGGCAGCTTCGAACCGTCAGCAATGCCCACACAGCTGACGAGGAGAGGACAGAAAGCAAGGGCACCTGACCCTTCCCCTGCCACCCCGGGCACCTCCAAGTCAGGACAGTACAGCAGACCAGTGGGGAGAGACACTGAGAAGAACCAAAGACCCCTCTGGGAGAACGCAGGGAGGCTGGGTGGTGAGGGGTTGTGGCAACTAAAAATACTCCACAGGGTCCACAAATTGCTGGGGAGGCTGGGAGCCAGATTTGGGGGCTTCAAGCATCAGAAATCCCCTTGGGAGAGTAGGAAGAGACCTTTGGATTGAACAGAAACTGGGCAAGAAGAAAATTTTGGTTTAAATGTTCACTTGAGCCCTACATCTCTTAGCTCCCACATGTCTTTTTCTCAACTGCCGGTTTATTTGAAATCTGGGAAGGTCCTACTTCAGGGTGTGAATGGCGGGGCCCTACTACAGGGTCCTGGGGAGATGGGAAAGCGGTATGTCCTCAACGCTCTTTCCCATCTCTCATTGGCGAGATGGAGGGCAGCCTTTCTCCCAAGCTGGAGGATGATGAGAAATGAAGCATGCCATCTCTCCGTGTTCCAGCATCCTGTCAATCTGCCTGTATCTCTAGGGGATGCATGCTTATTTTTGGGGGGGGGGAGTCAGGGTTCTGAGCCCACAGGAGTAAAAACCCAATTTGTAGGAGATCCACTTATTGAGAATGACAAGGCTACCTGAGTGGGTATGGGTAGAAGTCTTGAAATTAAGAAAAATGGGGAGGAGCAAGGGGGCTTTTGCAGCTGTGGGGACATTGTCGTCATTAGGCACATTTGTTAATCACCAGATCCAGAGTGGGTGCCCGTCAGTGCCCTGCATGTGCAAGAGTCATTGTGATGCCTAGTGTGTTGGCATCATCTTTTCGCTCCAGCCCTTCCTCTCCAAAATAAAAATGAATAAAGGAAAATCTCTACCCACATCTCTTTGGATGCTCCTGCAGAATTGCTTGGGCTTGGGGGTGGGGGTGGGTGGCGGAAAAGGGAAAGAGGGATCACTTGGCTGTGGAATCTAGACCTTGGTCAAGCTGCATCTTAGGAAGTAAGAAGCAGGGGATCTAAACCCACAGGAAGGATTCAGCCCCACAAACAGAATTACTGTGGATTCCTTAGATTGCAGTTCTGCTGCTGGCCTTGTGCTCAGGACTCAACTTCCTGTCTTCTGCTCAAAAGCACTTGGTTGTCATCGGTGCTGGCCCCTCAGGCCCCAAATCCCACCCACCACCTCCCCCGCTGAGTCACACCAGTCACACTCCTGGCTTCTGGGGCAGCCTGAGCCTGCCTCCTGCTGCTGCCAAGATCTGGTGTTGAGCAGGAAGATTACAGATGGGCCGCTGGGCGGCAGCCAAGGCTGCCACTTCTCAACCTTCTTCACGGAGAGGAGCGGGGGGAACCAGGAGTCCAGGGCAAACCGCTCAGCAGACGTTGAGACAGTGGCAACAAATCGTGAGCTCCCAACCTGTTCAGAGGCATCCGTAAAGCAGGTGCATCAGCCCAGCCTTTTCTTGCTGATTATTTTTCATTGCAGAGTTGCAGCAGATAGCCGGCTTAGCAAACTTCAGGTCCCGACCAGCTTTTTTTGTTTTTTTTTTCAAGATTTTATTTATTTGAGAGAGAGAGGTGGGAGGGGCAGAGCAAGAGGGAGAAAGAGTCTTTTTTTTTTATTTTAAAGATTTTATTTATTTGACAGAGAGAGAGCGGGAGCAGGAACATAAGCAGGGGGAGGGTCAGAGGGAGAAGCAGACTCCCTGCCGAGCAGGGAGCCCGACGCGGGACTCGATCCCAGGTCCCGGGGATCATGACCTGAGCCGAAGGCAGACACTCAACGACTGAGCCACCCAGGCGCCCGAGAGGGAGAAAGAGTCTTAAGTAGATTCTGCACTGAGCGCGGAGCCTGACTCGGGGTTCGAGCCCATGACCTGGAGATCACGACCTGAGCTGAAACCAAGAGTCAGTAGCCCAATGGACTGTGCCACTCAGGCACCCCTGGACAGCTCTTTTCATCATAATCATTAGCTGTAGTATTTTGGGGCTTGTGTTCCCCTCCACCTCTGTAGTGGGGTGGGGGAGCCAAGCTGCTGACAGTTTTCCCTAACAGTGGCGTCTCTAGCTGCCACACGTAAGTTCCCAACCTATTTCAGATGCACATTCAACAAAAGAAAAAAGATTATTAGGGAAGCCTTGAGGCAACTCCTACCCACTGGTTCCAGAAAAGGAGGTTTTCCTGCATGTGGTTTGCCTGTGAAAGGCTTCTGTCCACCCCTCTCCCCTGCAAGGAGGAGTCTGGGAGATGAAATAGGCCAGGTGGCCTCTCCCCGGAAATGCAGGTGATGGGCTAAGGAGGGCCCAGCAACACTCCTTCCTTCAGCTCTCAACCCCAGTTGAAAACTGACATTGAAGCAAAGTAGGTTGAGACAGAAAGTGAGTGGGTGGAAATGTAAACAGAAGGGAGGGGAGATGATTGGGGGAGAGCTGAAGTCAGGAGGAACCTGGGGGGATGCAGAAGGAAGGGAGGCAGGGAGAATAGAACGGGGGTGGGGAACTGTGCCAACAAATCCTTCCCCAGCCCAGCCATGCAGGTGCCACTAGATAAGAATAAGCACAAGCATGTGCAGAGGGAAGAGGTGGGTTGCTGGCAGGACCATCATCATGACATCACTGGTGGGAATGGTGGGCTGGTCGCAGGTCTGAGGAATGAGTGGAATTTTCCTTTCCTCCTCATTCAACCTGGGGCTATGAATAGTCCCAACTTCAGGGAACTGCGGGGGCCACTGAGAGGTACAGAGAGAATCCAAGAAGTGGGTGAAGAGCACGAAATTGATCTCTTTGCTCCTTTTCCCCTTTCCATACCTAATAAATACGGTCTCTCTCCTTGGGCCCCATCGCACCATCTCCCCAAACCCAGTGAGTGCTTCCTACACTGCTCCTTCCATCTATTCCCCAGAAAAAATTTCCTCTCCAACTGTGAGGACTAAGTCCCTAAAGTCCTCAACAGTGAAAGGAATCCAGAGCAGGGAGACCTCACAGGTTAGGCAAACCAAAGTTGCAAGTGACTGCAGGCAAACTCTCCTGCATATTGATATTCACTAAAGAAATACCTATAAGAACACCAAATAAAGGGACTAGCCATTTTTGTTATTTCCTACATTATCAGTTTTGTTTTGTTTTTTTTAAGTAGGTTCCACTCCCAGCGTGGAGCCCAACTTGGGGCTTGAACTCATGACCCTGAGATCAAGACTTGAGCTGAGATCAAGAGTCGGATGCTTAACCGACTGAGCCACCCAGGTGCCCCATCAGTTTTTATTTTGTTTTTTATTGTGGTAAAATACACATAATTGAATTATACACTTAGAAATAGTCAGGATGGTAGATTTTAATTACATGTATTTTAACACAACAGAAGATATATAGATATAACCATTTTAACTATTTTCAAGTGTACAGTTCAGTGGCATTAAGTAATTTATTGTGCATAATAATATCATTGTGCAACTATCACCACTACCCATCTCCAGAATTTCTTGGTCTTCCCATACTGAAACTCTACATCCATTAAGCCAACTACCCATTCTCCTTCCCCACAGCTCCTGGCAACCACCATTCTATTTTTGTCTCTATGATTTGGACTACTCTACGTACCTCATATAAGTAGAATTATACAGTATTTGTCCGTGTCTCACTTATTTCAATTATTATAATGCCTTAAAGGTTCTCCATGTGATAGCATATGTCAAAATCTCCTTTTCAAAGTTGAGTAATATTCCATTTTATGTATATACCACCTGTTGTTTATCCATTCATCTGTCAGTGGACATTTAGGCTGTTTCTACCGTTTGGCTATTGTGTATAATGCTGCGAGGAACATGCGTATACAAATATCTGTTTGAGATCCTGCTTTCAGTTCTTTTGTGTTTATAGCCAAAAGTGAAATTGCTGAATCATATGGCAATCCTGTGTTTAACTTTTTGAGGAATGCCATACTGTTTTCCACAGTGGCTGCACCATTTTACCTTCCCTCTGGCAATGCACAGGGGTTCTCCAATTTCTCCACATCCTTCCCAACAATAGTTTTCTCTTCCTTTCTTTTTTTCTTTTCCTTCCTTTTTTCCTTCTTTTCTTCTTTCCTTCCTTCCTTCCTTCCTTCAATAATAGCCATCCTAATGAGTGTAAAGTGGTCTTATTTTGGTTTTCAATTGCATTTCCTCAATGATAAGTGATGTTGAATATTTTTCATGTGCTTATTGGCCATCTGTATATCTTTTTTTTTTTTAAGATTTTATTTATTTATTTGACAAGAGAGAGATACAGCGAGAGAGGGAACACAAGCAGGGGGAGTGGGAGAGGGAGAAGCAGGCTTCCCGCCGAGCAGGGAGCCTGACGCGGGGCTCGATCCCAGGACCCTGGGATCATGACCTGAGCCGAAGGCAGATGCTTAACGACTGAGCCACCCAGGCGCCCTGGCCATTTGTATACCTTCTTTGGAGAAATGTCTGTTCAAACCTTTTGCCCATTTTTAAAATTGGTTTTTTTTTTTATTATTAGCAATATTTTACTCAACTCAAATTAATAATAATTGATTCTTTATGCCTTATTACTAAGAAAAAACCCCATTTTTTTAGCTAGGCTTTTTCTCCCTGCTATTCAATGAGATACTTGGCTTTTTTTTTCCATTGAGCATTTGGATGGAAAGCCACAAATCCCCCAAAACCTCTTACTTCTCCTAGCCCTATGATTTGCAGTAAGTCAAACTGATCCAGCAGCTTGAGTTGAGGTGGTCAGAAAAAGCAAGCAGCATCCCATCTTGGAGGATGGTTAGTGAGACCAGGCTAAAACTTAATTTTACAATTAGCAGTGACTTACTAATTATACCTAAATTCTGAGATAGTAGAAATGGGGGGGGGGGGTCATGGTGATGGAGGAGGGGAGGGGATTCCTCTTTGAGGTGGGGTTTCTGTTTGAACAGTGATGGGCAACCTACCCTGAGTGCCCCAACTTCATGTCTAAATCTCAGAGGACAACCAGGAGAAGAACTTTCTAGGTCAGAGATGGGATGGAAAAGTCATTCACTTAATTATCTGCAAAGCTATCTCCTTGATGAGTGATGAATAGTAGTGATCTCAGGCTACACAGAAGGGCAACATCCTTTGTTAAAAAAAAAAAAAAAGCTTCTATTTTTTTAAAGGTCATTCTTTGCTAAGCATGATGTTCAGTACTATATTGGTTTAGTCACTTATTTAATCTCCCCACCAGCATTTTATGGTAGACAGACCTTTATCCCATTTCAGAGATGGGTCAGTTGTGACTTAGGCTAAATGATTTGCCCAAGATCACAGAGCTATTTCAGGTATGTTTGATTCAAAAGTCCACATAATGTATTATCTCACCTCAAATCACATGCTTTTCCTCCAATTGGCCCCAGCCTCATCGCCCCCCCCCCAATAATTGCACCCTGAACCTCATACCTCTTTGCCTTTGTACATCCCTGGCCTGAAGAACCCCTTCTCCTCTCCCAGGTGGGATTCTTGCTTGCCCTCTGTTATAAGTTGAATTGCATCCCACAAAAGGAGGTATGTTGAAGTCTTAAACCCAATGCCTCTGAATAGGACCTTATATGGAAATAGAGTTTTAAGGATTTACCCAAGTCCAGATGAGGTCATCAGTGTGGGTTCTAAGCCAATATGACTGGTATCCTTATTAAAAAAGGGAATTTGGACATGAACAAACTCACACTCACGGAAGATAATGTGAAGACACAGAGAGCACGCCATGGGGAGATGGCAGATTGGAGTGTTCCATCTACAAGCCAAGGAATGCCTGAGGCCGCTAGCAGCTGGAAGGGAGTCATGCAACAGACCCCTGGCATCTTCAGAGAGAGCATGGTCCTGCCCACCCCTTGATTTCACATCTCCA